TGGGTCCCGTCTCTGTTTTGCAAAAACTGTTCTTACAAAATATTTGACTCTTTCTGCCACAAAATGTTCCAACTGAGGAGCATTTTTGTACTTCCAATATGTTGTTGCTATTCATTTAGTAAAGATTTGTCACAGGATAAAACTAATGCATTAGTTCTGATATACTTGACTGGATAAGATCCCATGACCACATAACCCCTGCTCTTCAGCAAGCAGTCAAGCATCCTGTTCCATAACAGATTCATGTCAATGTTGGCCTCTATGCTCATAAAAGCCCAGAATATCCAGGCCCTCCACAGATTTCGCCAACCTGCTCCATCACCACAACCTCCTTTCCGCAGTCTCCCATTTTTTATGGCTCCTGTCAACACCGCTTAAGACAAAATACTGGACCTTGGACAAAAGACCACCCTTCAACTGACTTTCCACATATATGTGTTGTATTTCATTGTTCACCATCGTTACAAAGAAGAAATCCGTTGGCTATGATTACTGAATAATTATGATCATAATTTGATAATAGCTATTGTTAGTATTTCTATTATCTTTCTATGTATTACTCTTATCATATATTTAACTCACCTGATTTTCATTAAACTTTAGAAAAGTTATCTTAAAACACTGAATTTGAAAATCCACTCTTGATTGTACTTTATTTGTAATTATCCTTTACACTTTTAAGCAACTTTGGATGAAAGTATCTGCTGAATAGATAAATATAGATATAAATGTGAAGCAGTATTCTTGTGGAGTTATGAATATAATTTAACTGCAACAATAAATAGGACTACTACCAGGAGCATAAGAAAACAGACATCTAAAATGACATTACTGTCTCACACATAAAACTCTCAAGTGCATATATGATGACCCAACAGGGCAACTTGGCGGCAGAATTTGAGTATGCATCTGGGAGAGGGGAGGAATTTGACCCCTGACACCGTCCAAAAAATGTTGCTGCATTTATTCTTTGGCTGATAGTTTAATGTTCTTTTCCCAAAGACTTGCAGCTTCTATTTTCTTTTTGGCTGAAGGAGAAGAATGAGGAGGCTGCTGTTCCCCACCATTAGCAGGACAAGTCGAAACTATGCGGCCTGCTGTGAGGGCAGGTAGACAGCCTGTAGCAAGCACAGAGGAGGGCCCTTCATCATCATATTTTATCTTTTCTGTTTATTTATGACAAGGGAAAATAAACTAATGGAATGACTAACTTCAGAACAGATGACAAGACTCACATAACCCTCCACATCAGTAAAAAAAACAGATATTTATGCACAATATCTTTAATCCATCAAACTCGGATCTTTGACGCTTTTTCTGCAGACCAGACTTCACATGCATGCGTGCTTGAATGTTAACATAAAAGAAAGCATTTTTTTATTGCAAAAACAACAGGTTTAAGAATTGATATCTGTAAAGTACCTAAAACTAATAAAAACAATAAGATTCACTAAATTTGGAGATTTTGTAATTGAGCTTAAAGTAAAGCAATTTTCTGCTTATTGATTAGCATGGGAGAAAAAAGAAAAAAGTGTCCTCACAAGTTGAAAACAAACCTAACCAGAACCAAGACTACAAAACAGATCAATACAACCCCCAACCTGAGATTAAGAGTAATAGATTGGAGCCAAGAATCTGAAGTCAAGTCATTTTTCAGCACAAATCACCCCTCTTAAAAGCGTAAAATAGCTCAATTATAATCTGTGGCAGCAATTGATTGAAATATTAAGACATTATCAAATATTCCTCTATAATTTTTTTATATGGATTATTTTTTCTCTGGTTTTAAACAGGATACATCTTAGAATGCGTGAGTCTTTTTGAGCTCATTTTAAGTCTGGGGGAAGGACGAGTCATATTGACAACATTGGAAAATTCCTATTGATTATTCTTCTTTTCTCTGTGCGCCGGCTTGTTAAAAAAGAGCCCTCTTGGAAACACGATCAATTAGTGAGATAGTGCTTGCCATTGATCAGCCGACAGCCCCTCACAAGGTTCTTGCCTTACGATGGATCCCTCCACACACTCCTTACGACCAACTATTGATCATAGCTTCTTAGTCAAATTTAAAAGCATGCACTCACACTGAGGGCTGACCCCTCCCGTGCAAACCACACAGACTAATACTGACATCTGCTTGTCTAAATTGTAAAACCCATGGTTCCCTCATAAATTCTGAGGCCAGCTTTGGCCCAGAACCAATATAGTTTCTAGGAGGTCAGAGGTCAGCATGGTATTAACGCTACTATTAAGAGGTTTGCTTGGGTTAAAATTGAAAGCATAGATAATGAATGGAGAATAATATTTATTTTCTATCCTTAAACAGGGATCTTTTGGTTTTGTTTTTTTAATTATTCATTTTCTAACTGCTCATATTATTTGGAAAGTAAAGTACAGTGCAATACATTCTCATTTTGAAGTGACAAAGATTGATTTGGTTGAAATGAAAGATAAAATCTTATATTTACTTGAAGAATCCATTTACGATCCAACACAAATATTTTGGCTAAAATGATCATCCATACAGAAAATAGATGAAACCTTGATTGCAGGACTTTAAAGAGATGCATTAACGATGATGAGCTCTGAGGTATTGATCTATCCTTCTCTATTGATCAATCATTGAACCAATCAGGGAACTGGCCACTCAATCAGTCAAAGTTATGTGGCCTTCTGCTAACAGAAAAGTCACATCATGCCTGTGAGAACAACAGTTCACCAGTGTTAAGACTAGACAGATGTAAAACTATTAGACACAGCAGGCAGAGAGGCATTAGATAATTCCCTTCAATAAGCATCTTGACTCATCTCTTTGTCGGCAGCCGCCCTTGCCCACTCCATCCCTCAGTCCTTTCGCCCTTTGTCCCTTCACCCCTCCCTGTGGATCAGCTGTGATTTACTCTCTTTTCTCTCAAATCAGGATTAGGGAGAAGAGGGGAGTGGCGGGGGTGCAGCAGGAGGAGAAAGGGGGAGAGAAAACTGAAACAATATGGAAAGGAGATTAGAAAAGTGGGGGTTTGGGCTGTTTGGGGAATTGCAAACTCCCTTGTGCTTGGGTAGGTGTCCTAATGACACCACCTAATTATGGCAAAATTAGACAGGCTAAAGGGAATAAGGGGGGTTGTGAAGGAGACGGGAGAAGAAAAAGAAGAGAAGCAGGAGAACTGAGCAATGGGAGCGAAAACAATAAGCACGCAGGAGCGTGTGAGAGCAAATGGAAGGAGTGGGAAGGGTGTGCAGAGGTACAGATACAAGCTGGGGCTGGGAGGAAGGGAGGACAGGGCTGAGAGTGTGAGAATAAAGAAAAAAGAAGGAGGAAAAGGGGTGGAAACCAGTGGCTGGGGGGACAGGAGCGAGTTGGCCCCAGCACACTGCATGTTAATTGGAGAACAGGTGTTGGGGCTGGGAGCAGGAGGCTGATTACTGGAGCCACACAAACACACACACACACACAACTCTACATTCAGGAGCACACGCACTGCTATAGACACACACACACATGCACACATGAATAATTTAAGCTCCGAGTGGTGACTGGGAAAAAGGTCAGAGTAGGGGTCAGGGAGACGCATAGACAATCGCACATACATCCACATACATACATAAATAAAGGTGAACGATCCACACACTCACATGATCACTCCTTTGTGTGCACACAAACAGAACATACTTGCTACAAACACGCACACGTATCGTGTCCAGCTCGTCACTTTACCTCCACTTTGGTGAACACACAGGGAAACAATAAAGTACCCACGAAGTTGGATGAAGGGGCACGAGGACGACATAAAATTCCATGTGCTTATCAGAAATTAACTGGCTGCTAATGGGAAACAATTTCCCTGAGGAGAGGATTTCAGAGGCCTGGCAAGAAGGAGAAGCCCCCGTCAAGATGGGATATGCCCAGTGTGATTAGGGAGTACAGTAGGTCAATGATTTCATTTAAATCAATCCCTAAGAGCTGCGCAGAAAGCCTCTGTCCATATAGAGCTCCTCGCACAAACAAATTTCAGACATGTTCAGCCATGTTAGGAGGAAGTATAAAAAGGGGGCGAAGGGGGTTAATGTGCTACAGTAAATGGGAAAAGCAGCTGCTCCGGCTTATTGTGGGAAAATTCAAAAGACAACAGTCCAATTTTTCCGTTATATGAAAACTATCTTCAGCTGAGATCCTTTGAGACGCACTGTCAACAGCCAGCCAGCTTGAACTGAGGAGGGGAAAGAAAAGGGTCCTTGACGTATATGAAGTGAGTGTTTTCTAGACAGACAATTGTAGAGAAGTAGAGAGAAAAGAGGAGCAGAGAGGTACGAGCGAGGGAGAAAGAGGTGATGAAGGATGTATCTGTGACATCACAGAGAAACTATTTCACATGCGGTCTGCTTGCGAGCATTCATCACGGCGGCTAATGCCAGGCAGACAGCGCGAGGCCTCCAGAAAGCCACAGACGTGAAGGCTCTCACACACGCTGATTACTGGGGTGGTCATCCACCTTTAAGCCCGATAACTGGTTGTCAGGGTGAACATTTATTACATATGTGAGGGTGGCTGGAGGAACGACAGATACACATGCTTCTCATAAAAGGAAATCTGTGCTTATGTCGGATTTCAGGTGCAAAGTCCAAATGAGCGAACAGACTGAAATAAATCCTAACAGGTTGAAGATGCAGAAAGCTTAAGAGGGAGGTCAGACAGCGTATCATATATTACCACCTGTTTACAATTTTGAGTAAAGGCTAAGGCAGAAACATTGGCCAAAACAAAGACTTTTTCATGAGTGTTAAATTGCTCACAAGCACCTGCATTAAAAAGAATATGTACTTAAAAGTACAGTCTAAAATGTCTGTTGCTACTTCTCTGAATACTTTTTGTCAGTGCAAATTTCCTCATGTTTCTTTGTATGAATGAGTTCAAGCATTTACACAAAGAGGGGTCAAATGAAACATTTAGAGTGAAGAGGTGCTTGTTTGTAGTGTTGGACGTGTTATTTTTCTCATTACCTGTCAATAATGACCGGATCAGAGGGCGTCTCATTTCGATTGCCGCAGCTTTTCTTCTCACAGCAGCGACTGAGTGGACCATTAAAGGGAGGGAGAAAAAGAGGGGGGAAAGTCAGTTTTCCAGCAATAGGAGCGTCCATTATTCGTCTGGCTCATCTACATCCACCAGCTCAGACAACTCTGCCCCACAGTCGGCCAAAATCCAGCAACACACAAAGGAGGCATAAGAGGGGAGGGGAAGAATAGACAAAAGAATAAAAGAGGAAGAAAAGGTACAACAACACACCCTACAAACAGTGAGAGACCATTCAAAAAGTGAAAAGGCAGCCAGGCAATCTGTCACATTGATTCTAAAATCAAACTCGCCCCCATGCAGCCTCATGGCGTGCACACTCACACACATACACGCGCACACCGTCCCACACCGTCCTACCATTCGTCAGCAGTCCTGTCCGAGGAGCCTGCTGGCCAGCCAGCCACCCCTCCTCCCCAAAGTCCCCTTCGCTGCATAACAAAAGTGCCCCCACCCCTAACCATCTGCCACCCCTACACCTCGCCTCAGCCCTCTAGTGTCCCAGCTTGGCCCCCCCCCCCCCCCCCCTCCGCCCCCATGTCAGACGGCCTCACTCCCCAGCTGTGACGCTTGCCCTCTGCCTCCCCGGCTCTGTTATTAGCCAGCTGTGAGTCACATTCGGGCATCTGCTGGCTACACAATGGCAAAGCCCAGTCCGTCTTAGTCCCTCTCCCCATGTCCCAGGCCTCTATACTTCTCCCTGCTGCCCGCAAATCCTGGGTCACTACCCCACTTCCAGCCGCTCTTTTCATGCCCCCCCTCCCCATCTGTAACATTCTTTTCACCTGTTTCCCCTCAACAAATAACCAAAATCCTTTGATCATAACAAAAACTTGATGAACTTCCTCTGCTTTTAGGAAAATTGATAAATCTTCAGCACTAGCTGCACTACCAAGCATACAGTCCAAGCTCTAAAACAACTACAGGAGTTGTATATCGAGAGGGAAAAAAGGTGTCTGGTGTCTTCAGTCTGGGTCTAGCAGCAAAACTTAAGGCCAAAAACACAGGAGGTCCAAGAAGAAACAAGAGCTGGCCCAATGGCATGCTGTGTTATAGCAGAGAGGATCGAGGGGGGTTACCACTGCAACAAGGATGATGATAGACAAGCCAGACTTAAAGTTACAAATGGGCACATTTTCCAATGATGGTGAGTCCCAAACATCATCCCAAAATCACATTTCAAGCTGACTGAGAAAAAGCACGGTGAAAGAGACTAATGGATATTTGGATTTAGTCCCTGTGGGCCAAGGCTTCATTCTGTGTGTGTCACTCACCTGCACATAACCTCGTGTGTGAGCAGAACTCTGCACATTTCTGGATTCTTGTTTTGTCCCTCATATGATATGGGCTGGAAGAGGAATATAAGAAGCAAAAGGATATTTTTTTTATTTATGTAACCACTATTCATTTAGCTAAAAAGATTAAATACACTTCAAAAGAGCTTTTGGAAAGTTTACCCACCTGTTTGGTGACGGAGTCAATAAGTCGTGCATACAGATCTTGCTCGGTACGAACCCCTGTGGAATTAAAACAGTTTGGAGCTTATAGATGACATATATTTTTTTATTCTGAGCTTAAAATCATTGAATGGAAAAATAAACTATCAGTGTGCAGATCATTTCCATATCAGGAATCGAGAGTAAACCTCTTGTCCTACTGTTGTATGTAACTAAACTAAACTAAAAACTAAAAAGTTCACAAGGTCTCTCCCCTTGCTTAATGAATATGCCTCCGTGCAATCTCAAAATACAATCAGATTGATGATGTAAATGAAATATTTTCTCAAACTTTGAACAGACTCTGAAAAGAAAATTGAACTCTGTCCAGGCAGCTTAGAAGAACAAGATTGGCGTGAGCTCATTTTTTTTTTTTTATGGTTTCTAAGGGGTTTGAGAGTTATTTGATGTCTGATGAGCATTACTTGTGTCCAGCCATAATTACCAAGGCTCTCACGATTTATCAGACTGTTGTCTCTGTTTTTTTTTTCTTGTTTTTTTTGGGGGGGGAGCTGGGGGGGTAATCTTTAACATCCTTTTTTTTTTAATGCCTCAAATAAATTAAGACTGACAGGGGATCATACGGGAAACCAATAAATAGAAAATTATCCATAACGTTTTTAAGACATATAAGAGCTAAAACAAAGTTCTGTCTTTATGTTGTCTTTCTGCCAATTTCTGTAAACTTCTGTTATGTCTTTTGGAGTTCCTGAAACACCTACACCTCCGGACGCTTTCAAACCTCCACTGTAAATCACACGACAGAACGGAAAACATGTAATGAACTGCTTCTTGAGAGAAGAAAGCATTACCCATGGATTTTTTTAAAGATAAATTGGATAGTATTGCCTTTAAAAATGTGTTTCTCTCATCAAAGTCTCAATTGAGATGCCTTTGATATTGCTCAGGGGATGGGGATGAGAGGAAGGGATGCAGAGGAAGTGCTTTTGGTGTGCTTGTATGTGTGTGAGTGTGTTTGTGTATGCATGTCTATGAGGAGGTTGCTCCAGAACATGTCTTTTATCTTCTCTCCCATGGGTGCCACTGTGATGGCAGAGCAGGGGCAGCAGTGGCTCATGGGAACCACATATCCCCGTGCATCCCCTGATCTGATGCTGAGGCTCTGTGGGGGGTGTGTGGAAGAGTTGGGGTGGGGGTTCTGATGGGTTGGCACAGTGCGTATCACTCCCTGAGCCCAGAGGTGGCTCATTTCGAATCCTTAAGTTTTCTCTTTTTTAAATGATTTGACAATTAGCTGAAATTAAAGCATGCTTTGAGAACGGAGGAGGCAGGGAGAGGTGTGATTTGCTGGAAAGCCGGTACAGCCTTAAACTTTTTTTCAGAACCTCGAGTCTAAGAGATCGAGAACAAATTGGGAGAAGAGATGGTGCTCGGATCTTACCGTTACTGTAGAGAAGCTGCAGCTTGTAGTGAGTGCCGTTGTTGGTCTTTTCTCCCGTCTGCTCCTTGAAGAAAAAAGCGGACATGCACACACAAGCACAGGGGATGCAGTTAAGTACACTGGGATATAGATAAGTACGGCTGGGCATCAGTACAAAGTGTTAAGCACAGTGAGCACCCCATAATCCCGCAGCTCGTCCTTCCCAACGAGCAGCTTCAAGATCAGAGAGCAGTAAGCTCAAAGCTCATGTGGGACACATTGTGCACATTAGCTCAGCTCTTAACCTTGAGCTGGATGCTCTTTGTATGGGTTGAATTATCATGTCTGATACAAACTCCCTGAATCCCCGAAATCAAAAGGAACGGTCATCTCTGCTGCAAGGTAGGAGGCTTGGTGGTATGTGTGAAAACTCGGTTCCACTGCTGCATGTAAGTCTGAGCAGCAGTCGACCTTGACAGAAAAACTTCCTACCATTCTCCCTCCCCCTAGGCTCCTCTAGCTTTTCCCCTCTTCCCTTTTTCCCCTTCTCTGGCTCTTGTTCCGCATCTTTCTTTCCCTTTCTCTACCTATACTGGTCTTTCTAAGTGGTCTCAAAGGAATGCTCTCTGGTCCAATAACCCAGGAAGCTGGCATCACAGAGACGAGTACAAGAGAGGGGGAGATAGAACAAGAAGACTATGAGAGGAAAGAAACCTGGAAAGGGAAATAGTTGTTGGGAGGAGATGGAAAAAGTGCGAGAATTAAGATGCATGAAGAAGAGCTGGAAAGTAACAGGCTCAGAACTTAATATGAGAAGTGAGACGGAGACACCTCAGGTGATAAATGGATGCCTGGGTTCATAAGTTTTGTAAATACACACAGAGGAGCATTTATTTTGCCCTGCCATCACTTTACCGCTGCATAATTATGAGGCAAAAACAGATGCCAGGGTAACCATGCAGAAAATGAACTTCTCCACTGCCACCGTGCGAGTCGGCAGTGGTCTGCGTGGCACAAAGAGCGGCTCGGTGACAGCTCTCAGCCACGGCATTTGTGCTGCCACCTCCGTCAATTACAGCCCAGAAACTAAGATTCATCTCCACTCGACAGAGCGCTGTACCCTTGTCATCTTCACTGGAGAGCTGCTGCCACTTCCCTTCACCGCAGGCAAAAGCATCCATCAACACCGGGGATGAGGCCCCCCCTGGGCAGTCTCCTCTATCTTTTTATCTCTGTCTCAAACTCCAGCATTTCTTATTTTGATGTTATCCAACCTGAGGAATCCAGCTCTCTCCAACATCAGGGTGCATAGTATGGGGTGGGGGGGGGGGGGGGGGGGGGGGGGGCATGAAGGAAAAGGCACTTTGATGACTAGTTCACTGTATAACTTAACAGGAGCAAGCATAATTTGCATTTTAAAAAGTAGTGATGTCCTCCTAATGAGGCAAGCTGCTAATTAGTCATTAGATATTCTTTTTCAATCCCACATCATCAGCTCATTGAGGCTAAAGCTTGTGTAAACATCTAGCCGTCAGCTGTTCGATGTGCTTGGCTTTACTGGGGATCGGGAAGATTAAGTTGAGCACCTGGTTGCAGCTTTAATACCATCGTATATATTCTGTTTTTCTCAATCACATTTTTAATTAATAAGTATTTGGAATGTGGTTGTAAGTGAGTAATGATTTCCTTTGGAGTGAAGATAAGTTTAAAGGTTAAAACTGTGTGGTGAGTTGAGGATATCCCCCAAAAAAAGGAAATAAAAAAAACAGGCATATAGAAAGTGTCGCACACCTTTTCATGTTCAACAAAGTCCACAAAAGCTGTCCTCTCCACCTCCACAGGTTGGCCGTGTCTGTCATAGAGCGCCAGAACAAAGTGGAAGAAGTTGGATTTTCTGAGATTTGAAGGCGGCTGCTTCTCAAAATGAGCTCTTGACAGAGCAACTCCACTGAGGATAAACAGAAAAAGGCAATCAGGAATCACTGCATTAAACTTTGTGCACTTTTCAGTAAACAGAGCTGTAGACACATTATCATGTTCATTTGATATTTCAAGCAAATCCAGTCCTCAGCTGTTTGGAAACATCTCAAAGAGTGGTGGTTAAAAAAAAAACTCAGGATATTTTTGTTCTTTTCTGTAAAATGCACAAAACTGCATTTTAAACAGAGATTTAATTTATATTTGATACACTGGGGAAATAAAGAAAGATGGAAAGATTATTAATTTAAAAACACATTTGTATTTACGTTGAAACATTTTTAAAATAATTGATTCAATTTTATTAGGTAAATTACTAAAAACAAACTAAAGAGATACTTTATCTTTATTTTTCATGTGTCTGTAAAAAATATATTCTCAAAATAAATTAAGACTTACATATTTTTTTATGGATTCTGAAAATAAAAACTTGTTAAAACTGCATTTTATCGTCTGATTCTTGAGTGAATGGGGATTTTACATGCACGTATGACTGATCCCAGTTTAGAAAAATATAAACGGACTTTGTTCAGTGAATTTAGTTAGTTACTTAGTTTAGTTTTTTAATCGTCCCTGTGAAATCCTTTCGAACATTTCAAACTCTATCACTTTGTGCAGGCTGTCCTTGCAGCGGTGAGGGTTTCTTGTATAAAAGAATTGTCCCTAAATCCTCACGTTATTTATTTGTTCTTTTGTTGAAATTCATGCGTTTTAAATGCCATTTAAGGAAGAAATAGAATTGTGATTGTCGTGGGGTTAACAGAAAAATGTTGTCAGTTCCCAATCTGTTTGTAAATTAAGATAATTTTTTGGACATGCTCACTTGTGTTCTGCTGTTTTTTAAAGGCGTTTTAAAGTTTATATTACTGCTAACACAATTATCTCAATTTTACTCCCAAAGTTTGGCACATAGAAAGAACAAGATGATGCGTGCGTAATGGCAAACCAAATAAAACGGTTAATTGCATATTGTTGATACTGTCTATGTCTACCAGATTATTTCTGTTTTGGAAAGATGAGATAATCAGCGACTTTTTCAGAGTAATGGGCACGTTTACAGTTACAAGACATTAAACCTGGAAGACGTGTCAGTTCATTTGTATCATTTTCAGGATTTCAGATGTCATGCATACTTTATCAATTTATTTATCTGTCTCTGGGTTGTATTTGACCACTTGTTAAAATCGTTTTAACAATCAATACTATTTTCAAAAGCTTCTTTGAGTTTCGGAGCAGTTTTACAGGAAACTCATTTAGCAACAAGTAGTTTTTCTTTTCTGAAAGGAGACAGCTCGACTGCAATTTTGGATGTACGTTAGAAACTACAGGGAACTGATCCTAAAATTATTTCTAAAAAGAAGCACGAGTGCATTTGATCAAAGGAAAATATGAAGGCAGTTCAAATGGGTCAGCATGGTTTCTACTGTACCTTTGCGCTGCGACGTTCGCATCCACAACCCCGACATTGCGCACCCACGACCGGACTGGATCCATCTCCTCTCCAAGACTTCTCTCTTTTAATCCGCTTACTTCTCTTATCAGCTGCTCCTGGATCCCGAACATTTAAGCCCCGTCCTCGTCTGTTTGGTGCACTTTTTCTTATAACTTATGGGCAAAAAGAAAAGCGGCACCGCTAAAGCACTTTGGCAAACAACAGAAGGTCCTCTTCAGGGCGCTGCGCTCCTCCAGAGCGCCGCCAGAAAAAGAGCTTTCACAAAGCTTTGAGAGAGAAGCTGCTGGATGCTGTGGGCTGACTCAGAAGGCGCCTCGGTAAAGAAAATTTTAAAAAATCCACACAGAGTTTATTTCAAGGTTCTGCTTGTGATTTTTGGTAGGTTTCTCCACAAACAGCAAGCATTGTCCAAGCGCATATCTCCGGCATCAGTTAGAGCGCAGATCATCTGCTCCGTGGGTTCAGCTCCACACGCAAATGAGACTGAGAGTGGACGTTATTTCAAATACGTGCGAGCGGAAAGTCTTCCTTTGTCACAAGTCCAGATCGGATCAAAACAGTTTATCCGGGGGCCAGGGGGCTTGTAGTGAACCGATGTCTTGGAGCATGAATGAGACCCTCAGCCGGGATAGAGCAGGGAGGAGGGGCCTCAGTGCCATTTGGGACCGATTGCTGAAATGGATGCGCTCATTGGTGTAAAGTGCATCCGTTGTTTGGACTCCTGCCAGATTCAGCATCCAACCAGTGACTCTCCAGCAAACTTTTTCACACACGTTCAACCAGGTTTGTGGGATAGGTATTATTTTCCTGAAGCGCTCAATATTGGAGCGTTTTAACGACTGAATTTACTGTGGAGCCAACGTTTATTTCACATTTAAATGAGAGGTCTTCTATGTGCGTAAGCATTTTTTTTTGTTTGTTTTAGGGGATATAGCTTTATTTCTGTAAATTGACTTCTTTATCAAAATTAACAAAATGTCGAAGAAACTTGTCAAATTAAAATGTTCATTTTCATGGTGAGTGGAATTTTTTCTTATGCTTTTTTTGGGGTTAGATTTCCTTATTTTAGTGTCTACGCACTGCTGCCCTAAGAAGCGTGTCGCTACAGAAAATCCTGTTTGGTCCATTCATTCAAGTCAGCATTTAACACAAGTGCGCTCTCGACAGGCGCGCATTCAGCAGCTCCACCGTCTGCTGCTTTGAACGCGGTGATTCCGCTCAGGACGCATCGCATCACTGTCAGCCTCAACAATGGCCGTCTGGTTGGCCCATCAATCTCCGCCAGCAGCCCACAGGGCTGCGCTCTGATTGGCGTTCGGGCCGCTGCCTGCCAGAGCCCCAAATGAGTTCTTAATCAGTGCATCTGACTATCAGCTCAAATTCGAACAATTCATGGAATCGTTTACGCAATCATCATTCAGCAGTAACAACTATATTTTTCCAGTGTCTTACTTGTCCAGGAAAATGACGTAAGTGGACAAAAGGATATTTAATTCACTTGTATTATTTAAGTTTCCTTTGTTTCTGAATTAGTTTATATAAGATCATCTACAGCCCATAAAGAAATTGTTTTAATCTAATTATTTAGGTTATTTTTAGGCTTTATGTTTTAGCTTCAGTGAGTAATATTTTAAGCTTATTTTGTAAGATAATATGAATTTTCATTCCCTTTCGTCTGGCTTTGAAAAGGAAAGTTTTCTCTCTCTCTCTCCTTCTCTCAGTCCTGGTTCCTCACCCCTTACTGAGACTATTGTCTCTGTGTGGAGTTTGTGTGCCCGGACAATGAATGTAAATCTCCCCCCTTGGATCCCGCCTCAGCTCACCATCTGCCAACGCGGGACAAAGTCAGATGTTCCCCCAATTATGAGAGCAGTCTTGGGGAATCCTGCAGCCCAGTCTCCGCCCTGCCGGCGGACACTCGGACAGACTCTCACTTCCACCAACGTGACTGACAGCTATACTTAACATCGAAACCATGAAAAATCTATACATCATGACACCAGGGTGCATTAAAAATTCCTTTACTTCTCACGAAAACGAGCAAACTCCCCTTTGAAATATATTTTTCGTCTGTTTGGATAGTTTCTTTGTCCCGTTTGAAAAGCATCAGACAAATTTCCAGAACAGGAAACAATGTTTTCATTTGTGTTTAAAGTCCACGGTCCCTTACAATTTCAAAAAGGAATAAAATCTCAAATGATTTGCTACATATCCTGGATAGTATCTGAAACATATTTTGTCAATAAATGTGTGAAACATGTCTTAAGCATCCTGGTAATCAGGATCCCTCCTAAATGACACAGTCAGTTGATGGTTTTTACGCGTGAGTTTCCTGAGAGCTAAACCAAGTCCACCTTTACTCAACTTAATTAAACGTGTCCATCTTGTTAGATGGGAACTTTTTCCATCCTTTAATTTATTTATTTTTCAGGGGCTATCCTACATCTGGGCCTCCTCTGCTCTATTCGCTGCCAAACTGCATTTCGCAAATTTTAGGAGGGAAAGACTTTACAGATGATTCTCTGCCGCGGACCTCTGTTGCGCTCACATCCAACCCCACAGGTGCGTGGCGCACCTTGGAGATGCTCACGGCCCTGCGGGACCTGCTGTCTAAATGTGTGGCTTTTCGAAGTCGCTGAAGCGGAGAGTCCGGGCGAAAATAGCGGATTAGTCCAACCACAAACGTCTTTCTAATCAATTTAACCCGCTGAGACGGGGGAGCCCGTATGTGTTTTTAGGGAGCAGGGGGGGTTGAGGGTGTGTGTGTGTGTGTGTGTGTATCTGTGTGTGTGTGGTTGTGTGTGAGGTGGGGAGGGGGTGGAGGGGTGGGATCAGTGACTGCTAAACTAAACAATGGGGTATCGTGTGCCGCTCGTCCTCTGCAGCATTCCCCTGCTCCCATGGGACACGCACAGCCACTCTGTGTGGATGGCACTGTGTGCACGGAGGTCACGAGGGGCGTGGCTTGGGTGCGCATAAGTGTGTGTGCGCTTTTGTGTGAGTGTGCTTCTGTGTGTGTGCGTGCTTTTATATGTGTGTGCTTGTGTTTGTGTGTGTGTGTGTGTGTGCATGTGTGTGCGAGTGGGCGCCGAAGACGCAGCAGCTGGTTTCCGTCCCTCCTCTCCAGCGTGCAGAAAACAACAACAGAGCTAATGCGACCCCTCAACGTCACCTTTCGATCGCCAAAACCTTCCGCTGCGCTCGTTTGTGTTTCGGTATATTTTTGAGGAAGGATGCAGATCCCCAGGGGAGTGTCGCTATATATGCAATTAAAGTGGGGCCGCCGTCTTGATCCTCTTTCCCTAATATCACAATCAATTTTTCAGTATCAGTATCAATTTTGGACGTTATTCGTCGACTTAGATTTATAGAAGTGGATTAAAGATGGGTGTAGATGGATGAGCAGCGAGATTAAAAACCTGTGCAGGATTTAGGGTTTAGGAGTCAAGAGACAGAAAACAGACAGGACTCTTCAAGTTTGATCTGACACACGTCATAAAGCTCCCTACGCAGTTCCATGGGATGAGAAATGTGTGTTTTCTGGTAAATTGCGGCTGTAATGTGGATGCAGCTTAACATCTGCTCATTCCCTCCGCTTCACCTTTACTACAGGCAGCGGGACTTGTGATAAACAACCATAACAAGCACAGGTGTTACGTTTCTATGTCTTCACTTTAAGTTGTTTGATTCTGCCAAGAAGTTTGTGCCTACTTGCAGTATGCTGTGGAGTCTTGATTGAATTTGTCTCCGGCAGTGTCTCACACTGGTGCTCAGGCACCATCACAGTTTAGACGAAGCTGGCTGTTTGTGTGTCTATTCTTTCTTTTAAGCGACAATCGTGTAGTTGACTCCAGGACATATTGGAATATGAATTTTAGTTGTTGTTTTTTTTGTTTTGTTTTTTATTTGTTTGTCTTTGGAAAGATTTCCATAGCTCTGACTAAACCAGCAGCTTTCACCAGTTTTGTCAGTTTGTACTTTTTTTTTTAAACAGGGCTCGTGCTCACGTGAATAACTGATACTTTTACTCTAAAAAAACATCTTAGTTGCTTCATCTCTGCACAGTGTCGCAGTTCTTTGTATAAATAGTGATGTTTGTTTTATTGTAAGAAGGTTTGTGTTAAGGCCACTGACAAATTAGTTCACATTTTTTTAAAGAAAAAAAATATATATTTAGGGGTTGTTTTTTCAAATTCCTGCTGAAGGAAAGTCATTTTTGAAAAGCAGACTGTTCATTGGCAGTTTCAGCTGATTTTCATCAGTTTGATATTCAGAATAAATTATTCAGTAAATCCTTTTTCAACATTATTGTTTCACTGAACTTTCTAGATCTAATGTTGCTCTTTGACATAACTTGGATGGTATGAAAACATTGATAAATAGTTTTTCTTTTTAGTCTTTTCAATCTCAATTTTTATGTGATAATTTTATTATTGTAGTGTAATTTATTATAGGGTGGGGGGTGATGACGTCTTCTTCATTTGTTTAAAAATTGCATGTCATTGCCATCTAGTGGTGTGATTATAAACATTGTCCTTTGAGTCTAAAAAAACCTGATACATCTTCTTCTGTATGTTTAATAATCCACAGACATATTTTTTGTTAAGCCTTCATTTATTTCAATCAACTTTGATGTGACTAAAAGTCTTACACTTAATCTCAGAACAAGCATGAGTGTGACCAATTTTTTAAAAGAAACTTCAAGTCCCTTTATGACCACATTCAATTTTGCCTGATCTGTTCTATTCACTCATCAACAATAGCTTCAATGCAATCATGTGTTTGCAGGATTAATACACCATTAAATCAACAATTAGAAATAAATCACATTGTGAATCACATTTTTGTCTGCATTGTAGTAAATTAATCATCTTGTTTCCCTTACACTAGCAGTCTTTCAAAATATTTGTGCACTGAGATTATTCCATAATTTAAAACAAACATCAAAGACATTCAACCATGTGTAAACATCATTTTCATCTTGCAGGATTCACAGCACAGGAAAATCAAGCTATTGTATATCTTCATTTTTGCTTAAATCTTCATTCCATTATTTAGAAGTGGGATGCAAATGAGGCAAAGGAATTGTAGGCGGATTTTCCGCAGGTTTTGCAAGCTGCGTCATATCCCCTACTCAGTGAACAGCAGATGCCCAGAGAAGAAGCTGTCACTGGTGAGGCTGTTCCCACCGTGGTGAGCCAACAGCCAGACCCTGTCGCCTCTTGCTAGCTTGACGAAGGTGCTGCCGCTGGCTGTGATGTAGCCGTTTTGGCGGGTGGTGTATGAGTGCACGATCAGCTCCCCATTACGCAGGAGATCCACACTGGCAGCATTCTGATAGATGGTGCAGTGGAACTCAAACTCATACACACCAGGATGCTCGCAGGTGAAAATGCCGGTCTTGGGGTTGTAGCTGTTCTGTCCGTTGTAAATGACATCATGGAAGGGAATGGGGGCGCCAGCCTTGGGGAAGTTGTTGCCTAGACGCACAGAGAAAGCAACTTTCTCTCCGTCGCCGGGGGGTCCTCGAGGTCCTCTCAGACCACGGGGTCCCCTGGGGCCTTTGTGTAAAAAAGACATGAGAACAATCATTTTTTAGAGATGGTCCACTTCCATGATTTTAGAGGGAAATTTAATGACACCAACAACAGTTAGGTAGTTAAAAGAGTGGCTTCACCTGGTGGGCCCGGTGGTCCTTGAGCTGTTGTGGAGAAAAATGAAAAGAGGAAATCAGTACATTCAGAAGAGCTGTTACATAATACCTTATAGTAATACTTTATAAATGTCTCTCCATAAAAGTTTAGATTTGTAGAAATCTACCTGCAGGCGCTGGAGTTTCACCGGATGCTGCTCAAAAAGAAAATGGAGAGAAAAGTTAATGGAAAGTCTTCCATACAGATATACTGTTAAGACTGGTTGTGTTTAGTGTGAAAGAACAGAGCATCAACTTACCACCCTCCCTCCATGGACTGAGGTCAAAAGCAGGGATGTCACTGCACTGGGCATAACCAGCACCCCGAGGGCGGTACTGGAAGGGTTTTTCTGGAACTTCAGTGATGCCAGTGTTGTCGCAGATGATGCGGGCCAGTGATGTTTCTCTAATTGATGTTCTCTGAGCATCAGTGAAGACACCCTCATTCTCCCACCAAAGACTGAAATGGGACAGATAGTTTTAGGTTTACATTTCTGAGAACAGAGGTGCAACTGACCCAAATGCCACTGTAACTGTAGAAATGTTTGTTCCGTAAGTTCCTGACTACTAACCGGTCGCCCTGGCGGATTCTCTTGAACTGTTTGGCAATCAGGCAGGCAAAGAGAGGTCCCACTCTTCCTCCGGGAACAAATGGCTCAGCAACTCCTCCCAGCCAAACATCAATGTTGTCAGTGGTACCGTAGAGGTCCAGCAGCCTACGAGCCAGGTCTGTGTTGTTCAGCACTCTTGCCAACTGGTTCAGATTTCTTGGCTGTGATAGTCCACAGAACTCACGCCATTTGTTATAGCCTAAAAGGAGTACATATAGTTAAAGTACCTAAAAAAGTTAAGAATCGTGAGCTAGATTAATTAATTTATTAAAAAAACAATCACATACCAGGGAGTCCATGGTCTCTGCCTCTTTGCAGATTCAGTGCACCCAGATCCAAAGCCAGATCAACGGAAAACTGGAACAGTCTTTCTCTCAGCTCCTCGGTCAACATGTGATCCTGTGTGTTGAGCTTTGCCTGGCGACCCACAAGACCCCTGATGATTGGATCCAAACCACCTGATGGACACATGAGACAATTGAAACTTGATTCACAAACTCAAGTAGGGTTGAGGGGAACAACAATAAATTTAGAGTCTTACCTTCAAAGGTTATCCTCCATGGTGTAAACATGGTTCTGTGTAGCAACTGGGTGGGGTAATCACGGTGATTCTGGTAATTCTCATCAAGACGGAACATGAAAGGCTGAACCATGAGGTGAGCGAATCTGTAGGCAGCTGTAGCGAACACGTTGGAGATGCTGGGGTCCACATTTTCATCATACCCAGGGTAGGTGGAGAGGTCCTGTGAAAGAATACCTGGGCCAACGATATGAAGGAGGTAGTCCCTGAAAGTGATAACCTGAAAAACAAAGGAGGTTAAGCTATCTTCTCTCACTTTCTGGCTTTCTATTTGGTCAAATCCTAGTTTTGCCCCTATTAAACCAGGCCCAAAGTCTCATACCTGCAAGTAACCCCCCATGATCTTGCGTGCTTCCTGATAAAGTCTCTCTCCACCCCAATGAGGATTGAGCTGCTTGAGGGCACGTGCCAGACGATTGTGCTCTCTGAGCATGAGAGTGTGCAAAGAAGCAAGTCCAATGTTTTCGTTGGCACGATCGTCACCTAGAAAGACCCCCAAAAAAGAAACAATGTGTTGTTATTCCTGTTGAATGTTAGGATTGATTTCCTTAAGACCAACTTCTGCCTGTAACCTACCAGCAAGGAAGCATTGCAGTTCTTCTGCATTGCTGTCATTGGTCATCTTTCTTCGAGTTGCGCAAAAACTGGCCATCGCGGGGGTGAAAGGCAGGAGTTCGCGGCCGTTGTCATTGTACACTGGATTGATTCTCATCAGACCCAGGTCATTGGTCAGGTCCCGGAGATCGCGAGCTTTAACATCGTCTGAGCCGTAGACTTGACCCACATCGATGAAAGATGTGAGAGTGTTCATCTGCTGGCGGACATTGCTGGCTCCAAAGATGTACCCATTGTATCCAGATCCACAGGCCGGCGCAGAGCGAGAGAACGGAATGCATTCTGAGTGTCCCCGGAAGCGGGTGTCATTTTTGGGGATCTGTTCGGAAGACAAGAAGTAGCCCAGTTATCATTTGTAGGCTTACCTGTACAGGTTATTCCTCCTGGATAGGTAGAACACTTACATTAATGGGGAAGCAGGGCTCTGTGCGATCACAACTGTGTTCGCAGTCAATGTGGTTACTGTACGAGCGGATGGAAGGAGAGTGAGGGGTGAAAGTCAGATCGTGGTCTGTCCATTGGCCGAAGATTGTGATCAGGTGAGTGTAGAGGGGGTCACTCTCCACATCCTCGTTAGCCGTTGCCAGGATGCGGTTGGACACTTCTCTTACCTGCAGCACAGGATGGAGAAAATGAGAGAATGTATTTGGAAGGAAAAGGTCAGACTGGTGATGAAAGCACACTCGGACATGCATACCAGTGGTAGGAGGTGACGGTTGACACGCAGGCCATCCGTCCACCCTTTAGGAGTGGAGATTCTGTCCTCGTACTCAGCAGGCAGCCACCGGGTGAAGGGAATGTTGGAGGAGCCCCAGCGACTGTTTGCACTATGAGCGATTAAAACAAAAGCCCCTTTTAATCAAAGTGCATTTAATAATCAGTTTCGGATAGAGTGGAGCTGAAACGCACGTTTGAAGCCAAACTCTTAATCGTAGGACTTCTTATTTCATGTTATAATCGTATGCATATCAAATAAGTACACATTCGCCTCACATGTTGTTGCAGGTGCTGCCTGCTGTGCGAAACCTCTCCAAATTGGGCGTCGTGTTGCAAGAAGGCGGTTTGCGCTGGGCAGAGCACCCTGTCAGATTCGAAATGACACCCAAATCCTCGTCGGAGATGAGATCTGAGTGACGGAGAAAATGAAAAGGCATTAAATTAGAATGACATCCAGACGGAAACAAAAAAAAATATTTCAAAATTCATTAAAAAAAAACAAACACGGTATCTAGAAGCGAACCTGTGGCGTTGATGGAGCGTCTGTGACGTCTGGCCAGGGACCGTCGGACAATGGCCAGCGCGTTGGCCATGTAGTCCGCGGCGCGCACGGCCTGGCGGGACTGGCCGTTGGGTTGCTTCAGCAGACGCAGCACGTCTGAGGCTGTGACTGCATTCCTCTTCACACGGTCGATGCTCCTGTTATGTAGACGGTTTAAAGTTTTAGAGAGCTTCGTTCGTAAAGTGTCGGCACAAAGTTGAGAGGGGAAAAAAAAGAGATGAGCAAAGACGGAACACTCACACTCTTCGGGAATAAGTATACGCGTCATCCACCAGTGCCTTGGCTTCATTCACGGCTCTTAGGAGAAAACTCCTGCTCAGCCGCGAATCTGAAAGTGAAGGAAATGATCCGCCTTTAACTTTACTTTAATAGACGGAAATATCTCGTAGCCCAGCAGGATAGAAAAAAAAATATAACAAGTTAGTAAAAATGGAAGGTAACTTACGCGCATCGACCTGGCATTGCGAGCACAGGGTGAGACCCAGGGCCAGCAGGCAAAGAAAGCGAATCATCTGTAATAAAAAAAAAAAAAGAAAGATAATCCCCAGTCAATTTGAGTTCCGAAAAATATTCAAAGAGTTATATTTCAGTTTTCCTTCAAGCATGCTAAACGAATTATGTTTTTATAACAAAAATATAAAATATCAGCCCGTAAATTCTGAATATATATGAGTCAAAATATTTAGAAAATTTGTTTTTAAAAAAAATTAAAAAACCTTTTAAAATGTTAAGCCTCAGTCCTGTGATGTCTCTCCGCATCCAGTCTGACTCCAGCTGTGGCCAGAGGTTGGTGATTTTCACTGCGCCCTCTGACTTTTTATAGGCCGTGGACGTCACCTCGGGAATCTGGGCTGACAGCCAGTTTATTTTCTCCTTCCTAGTTCCTCATCGGAAGCATCCCCCGTTTGACAACCCAGAAGTTACGGGACGCTCAACGTGACAAGACGCTTCTCTCGTGTGTGGCCCATGCATTTTTCAAATAAATTATAGGCTACATCATTAAGTTAATAAAAAATGATACATCGCATTGAATAGAAACTCGATTTTGATTTTGAGTATATCCCAAGCCTTTCTGCTTTTGGCTTACTTTGTGGCTGTCCTTTATTCAAGCGCATGAAGTCCAAAGAGCTCCGGAACTACTTACATTTATTCTAACATAGTTATTCTAACCGAACCACACACATAAAGTCCCTAAAATAGCTATTTATTATACTAATTCAGATTTTTCGATTTTTTATTCAGCTTCCCACAATTAAAGGTACGTTTTTTCAATCCCCTGTCTTTTTTCAATCAACAGGCCTCTAACCGTGCACTTTATGACTCTTTAACACAGTTTTATTCAGCTATAATAGGAGGTTTTATCTTTATGGTTTTAACGACATACTTCATCTGTTGTCTTACAGCATCAGATATGCTCTAACTTCCTGGAGAAAGAGCACATTCCAGGTTTCGGAGCAGCGGCATCGCCTGTTTGTTTCGTGACAAATAAAAGAATGCAACGAAGAAATACAAAGGAACAAAAATTCCTTTTGGTCTATTTAAAGTTTATCAAAAAAGTTGTGCTACAGTTCTCAGAAATGTAGAATCTGAATTTGAACATGTAAAGATCTAAGTGTTTGTTGCACCTTATTCAAATCAATCTCATTCAGTTAAGTCACAATATGCTAGATTTTTGTCTTCAAAGAAAAAACCATAATCTGTCTTTATAATCAATTTCCTGCAATTAAAAAGTTAGACATTGAACAGCCCTGTCGGCCTATTTATCAATCCTAACCAGGTCTGTCAGTGCACATATATTTTTTAATTTTTTCCATGTCACATGAGGAGAACTGTAGATCTAACTACTCAGTTAGGAGTTAAATTCCTTGTTCTGGGTGCCGAAGCTTTAATGGGTAATTCCAATAGGACACATCTATATTGGGGGCCTCCGACCAAATTAACCAATCAGCAGTGTTACCTTTAAATGGTCAGCAAAGCCAGGATAATACAAATAGTAAAACTTGGTGCATATAATATGAGTTAGAAGTACATTTTGCTGTCTATTCTTCTGTGCCAAGAATGCAGTGAGTGCAAATGAAAATATCAGCAGTAAAATAGATGCACACATACACTTGGAAAAATGAACCTGCATTTGCAGTAAATTGATCTAAATTATCCTTAATCTGATCTGGGCCACAGAACCTGTTGGGCATTGACCAAGTGTATGTTATTCATAGGAATGGGTCTAAGGTTTTGAATGTGATGGACAAGATACAGGAAACAGACACATTAAATCTTACTACTGGCACCGTGATGGATGTGACATTCCTTTACTTGTTTCACTTGTGCAGCATGTTGCATAAACTAAAGTGATCCTTACCGTTCAACATACCTTTAAATGGTCGACAGACCTTTAAATAGTAATAGAAAATCCAGCGAAGGCTGAGGAGGAACTGTTTGAAAGGGTTTTCCTTGTTCCTGTTGTAAAAGTGTGTGTGTGCGTGTGTCGCTTTGCATTATTGTATTTTATTTTTCCATTGAGTGACAAGTTAGAGAGAAACAGCTAGAAGGCTAGAAGGAAATATCAAGAAAGGTCTGATCGAGAATATTTCTATCAATCTTCCCTTTTCATTCCAGAAGGAGCACCAGGCGCACAGTCTCATCACACAACACTCCGCATGGCATTATCATTTATATTCCCTAAATCACACTTTTGCTGCTGCTCAACTGCGTATCAATATTTGCACCTTCTGGATTGTGGCACAACGGCCATCATTCACAGGATTCTGCCACAGCCCGTCCTGTAGTTGGACAGTTGGAATAATATGAAGTAGTCCATGGTAGTTGTACCTACTTCAAGCTTTTGTTAGTTGTATTATTTAATATGTCATGCTACAACTGACATGTCCATAGTGTACCCGGCCTTTCCCAGTACACCACAACGCTACTTGAAATGAACAAACATAAAACATATATTTGTGGCTGGATTATTTCTTAAATTGTTATGTCCGTGTATTTTAAATGGCATGTTTTTTTTTCTTGTTGATTTTTGTGCTGCCACTTCACAAACACATTTTCATTGTAAGTTAGAATATTCTTTATTATGTATTAATTTAGATGAATAAAGCTAAAAACACACACATTATTTAGTTTAGCTTTTAAAACCTCGAGTTTGAATCATGATCCCAAGTCATTTGAACTTCACTCCTAAGCTACTGATTGACCTATTATGAACCACAGAGAATCATAAGCCAATCCAAAATTAAACTTTCTTGAATGGGATTTATAATGAATGATGAATTGAATATTACTTATCAAGGAACTTGCTTTGGAAAAGAGCATTTCAACAACCTTTTCCAACAAGGAAGCAACACACTCCATCAGCACAGTGTGCATGTGCGTCTTTAGGTATGTGACGTCAAAGGGAAGGCGGGGGTTTCAGTCGATGCCATCAGTGAATGGGTGAATGACAGGAGAGTGATCCTTACATTCAGGTGAGTTAGCAGGTGACTTTTATGAATGCAGGTGTTTTTACAACAGAGAAAGAATAGTCCGGCAGCATGTGTTACTCATTGTTCTGTGGTGTGTACAACACCTACACTGTACTCCTGCCTGTCACTTGGTTTTTCCACAAGGCCTTACCCGACCTTTTTGCATCTTAATTTGTACAATGCTGACGAAAAAACACAAAGACGGAAAACTGGAAGGAAACGTTTCCAGAAAATTGATTTTGAAAATTGATTTTTATTGAAAAAATCTATCGATAGAATAAGAAAAGGCAGTGGTGAATAGTAGCTCAAACGGGTTGAGCAGGCAGCCCGTGTACAGACGCTCTTCTGTAGCTGGCCGCAGTACGAGCGCCTTCTGGGCTCATTCTGGCAAGTCATACCCTCTCTCTCTGACCTGGCCTCCACTTGGCCTTCTAATATCACTGAAGATGTTTTAAAATAAACTTAGTTTTTCATAAAATCCCATTTGATAACCCGTTTTCTACAACCAGTTCTATCAGAACTACTTATGAAAAAACTCAATAATGAATATATATTTACATTATCACAAAGCAAAAAACTGCCATTGCACCCTATTTTGGCAATCCATCGACGGCATTCACATTAATTAATGTTTCCTCCCTTCATTTCCACTGTACTCTGAACATGTAGTCAGTGAATGAGTCCGTTGCTGTAGCCTGTCCCGAGTTTTGTAGAGAGGGTGGGAGGGATTGTCCATGATGGACAGCAGTTTTGCGAGCATCCTGTCCTCCACCACCTCCTCCAGGGTGACAAGCTGTAGAGCCGACAACAGGCTCTGCTTTTGTAATGAGTTTTTCCAGTCTGTCGGCCTCCTTTACCTTGATGCCAGAACAGCAAAGCTAAGAAGATGATGCTCGCCACAACAGACTGATAGAACATCTGCAGCACCTTGTTGCAGACATTAAAGGACCTGAGCCTCCTCAGGCCCTTCTTCTAAACGGCCTCTGTGTTGGTGGATCAGTCCAGTTTATTCTCCGGTGTGTGACACCCCAATAGTTGTATGAGGGGACCATTCTCCACATCCGTCCCACCGGTGCTGACAGGAGAGGGCGGGGGCTTGTACCTCCTGAAGTCCACCACCTTCTCTTTAGTCTTCCCCATGTTCAGCTGTAGGTGGTTCTCCCCACGCCACTTCACAAACGGTCAACCAGGACCCAAGTGATGAGGGGAGCACCCAGCCGCGTGCTCTCAAGTTTGGCCTTCAGCAGTCTGGGCTGGATGGTGCTGGAGAAGAGATGTCGAAGAACATGATCATAATCAATTATGTTAACTTTGCTAACAATATCTCCTGGAAAGGCAGTGAATGGAAAGCGGCGTTTGATATTGCTGGGTCATCATTTTTGCCAGAATGGTCATGGCTGCACTGGTAAAGCCTCATCAGATTATTTTCAGGTTTAATTTTTGCCTTTAATTGTGGTAGTTGTATTTACGTTCATCCTTTTTTTACTTTAGCACAAAATTTGCTGATAAAACTGTCTGTCCAAACAAAAAAGACATTAGTTAGGTGCTTGTTGTTTTAGCCTTAACAAAACAAAGGCTACCATATTCGCCTTTACTGTAAGTCACCAAATATTTTCCGCCTTCCCGAAAGCCTAAAATAGAAATGAAACAAGGTGTGGAATTAAGTGGCAGTCGGAAATGCTGTGGGTTATTATCGGCAGCAAGGCAAGCCAGCGATTAGAGAATAACAAAAGAAAACAGTCCTTCTTTTGCACTAAGGGTTATATCATTACCAAGAGGAGAATAATGTTGATTTTTTTACCAAGTCTAGTTGTTGTGCGGTCTCAAAAGTGCTTTCAAGAATATTGCTCTGGTTTACTGCCAGTGGCAGTAAAGTCTTTTACATGTATTTCAACAGCATTTTTTTAGGAAAACAATGGCTGCCAGGAAAACTTTTAATGCTATAAATATGTTTCCCCAGAGACTTGGGTTTGGTTTTTTCCTTTCTTTTTTTTTTCTAAGGTGAGATGTCACAAATCTGTCATCTGAAAAACAAGCAGAGTTGATAAGGAAAAAATGAGGGACAAAGGAAGGAATTTTCTGCCCTCAGAGTTGTCACACTGCATGCAGTCACAGACTCAATCAGTGAAAACTGGTTATTTCCTGGTTCCTTAAGCCTAATGCCTTGTATCGCTAAATACTGTCAAGTTAATCAAATATAGGCAGATCATAGCTTTACATATATCATTTTATAAGACATTACTGGTGTGTCTTTGCAATCTCAGCTCCTAGAGCTAAAGCTGTCTGAACTTCTAACGTTGGGGGAGCTACAGGAACAAC